TTAAAAATAAATTTAAATATAATTAAAAATATTCAGCACAAATTAATAAATGTAATTTTTTTATCATTTTTATGCTTTAAATAAACAACCTATATATTATATTATTGCACTTGCTGTGTTACTAATTAGAATTGACGCATAAACTACTGCTATATAAATTAACTTAATCATTGTAAGTTAATTTTTTTGTCCAATAAATAATCTTTTAATTTTAATAAATGACATCATTACTACAATTCATAATAGTATTATATTTATATTTGCAATATCAATGCAATTAAAATCAATGACGTCAACCTCAAGCAATGCACCATCAAGATTTATACACTTATGTTGGATGACTTTGAGTTGGATGACTTTACCTTGAGTTCGCACATATTTGTGTATTACACACTATATGTGCTATGTATATTAAAATATATTCATGACCCATTTATTGATATGAAACATTTCAGTTATACAAAAAAAAAATAAAAAAACAACATATGGCACTAAGAAATACTCCTATTTACATGTTAACACATGAAATAATGTGTTTTTAATCATTTTGATAAATGGTTTTTATATAATATACTTTTTTGTACTATAAACAAATATGAAGTAAATAAAAATATAAGATTTAAAGAAATTACACAGATGTGTAGTACCAGATTTAAATTCAAAAATTAAAAATACACAAATACAAAACAAAATAATGGGGTTCTGGGCTTTCAATGAAGCAAAGCACTAATTTATTATATATTAAAATGTAATGATGGAATGGAAAAGTTTATAATAATGGTACTGCAAAACATTTAATATATGGTTTTTTTTTTGTTTAAGGTAAGGATTTGATTTTATCTCTCTATTCTGTTCCCGACCTAAAAGCAATTATTGTCATTTTTCCAAATAATAAATTATAATATCATCTAAATATTGATTCCGCATATCGATAAAATGTAAAAGAGTAACTATCGAATATGAAATTAAATATAAAGTTTACTATGTAATAAGATTACCCTACAGAACTATTAATTACTGTTGTCCGAAGTCTAACTATATTCTCAAAGAACATTAATTAAGTAAAGTAAACCCAGAATACACGCAACACACATAATTTCTAAAAAACCTAAGCACAAGAAAGGAGAAAATATCAAAAACAAGAACCTTGGGGTAAAGTAATGGACCCATAGGCGACATAAGTGGAAGCTGACCTTTATAATCACTCTTAAACCTATATAAAAAAATATTAAATTACTCATAGGCGAGGTAAGTGGAGTCTGACATACAGACTAACCCTTAAACCTATATAAAATAATTTTAAGTGACTATATAATCAAAGAATCTATAAGCACAATGATAGAGTATTCATATATAGCCTCTCTATATATATATAAATAATAAATAAATATAAATATATATCTTTATTTATTCAATGTATAACATTATTATTTAAATTATAAAAAATTTACTCTACAAATTGATTGAATTCTTTTATTTTTGAGTCAATTTTGTTATGACACAATTTACTTAATTAAAAATATCTGAGCTGTGCTTTTTTCCTTATATATGATGAATGCATGAATTCTATGCAATTTTTTTAAATCTTATCTATAAATAAAGAAATGTTGAGATAAGAGAACATCAAATATTTAAATGTTTAATAGATGATGGAATGTGATTTTGTTGTATATTTTTACAATTTTCAAAAAAAATTATAGCTGCAAAATTTTTTCTATATATATATTTTATATATAAACAATAGGAATAAAGAAAAAACTAATTAGAAATTTTAAATTTCTACATCATATATAAACAATATTTATATATACTTGCAAAAATAACGAGACGCTAATTTTTAAAAATATCTTAAAATGATCAAAACTACTAAAAGTGGGTGTGGTTTTTATGTCATATTAATTAGTATTCTAAATTTTTTATAAATTCTGAATTGACTTCGAGACCAGACTTTGTAGGCGACTTTTTAATGAAAAAAAATTATAAATTCGTAATCAACAAAAACAAAAAAAATTAATATTTATGTAAAAAAAAATAAAAATAATTTCCGTTCACTAAAATAAAGCATTTACATTTAACCAAAGAAAAAAACTAAATTAAACAATATAAATGATAAATGTGCTTCAAAAAAATTAAAGCAGAACATGTATATAATCTATTTATATATATAAGTGTGTAATTTGTGTTAATTATGTTTTTGATGTAAAATTCAAGTTCAAGAATGTTGTAAAAATATAGTAAATGTATATTGCGAATTCAAAATCAAACTGGTTTTTTTCTTTTAAATATTACTTTTCATTAACAAAAATGATCTCATCTATGAGATAATACTTTTACAACATTTTTATAATATTTCAAAATTTTTAGTAATATAATAAACATATATTATCATAACATAAAATCATTATAACGTCATTTCCATAGTAATTTTAAAGAAAACTAAGAATGATTAAATTATAAATGCATCAAATATTTAATGGAAATATTGTTAATTGTTACTAAATTAATTATTGTTGTTTAAAAAAATTAAAACAATTTAGATTCTTGACTTTTATCACTCGACACAAACAATTGTAATATTGTTCATCACGAAGTAAATATTATTGAGTCACCGATTCCTTGTATTATTTGCATGTGTCATAATTTCTCATTTATACATTTAGAAGGTTTTAACTGCAAAGTTTTTCTAAATTAAACCACCATATCTTAAAGATTAAAACATTTCTTATTTAAACTATTTTTAAACCACAAAAAAACCACAAACTGTACTGTAGGTTATTAAATCTTAAGTATATAGGATTAAATACAAATGCTATGTAGAATAGGACTAATCTGGTTGCGTTGCATAAAAATATGAAAAAATAATAATGAAATATATTGTATATAAAATTAAGAAAAAATTCATTATTTAAATATTGAGTTTATTTCGAACATGCTTTGTTTTATATAGACTCAGTGAAAGGAAACTTTTGGTATAATGTCACAGTTATAGCAGAAGGCGGGTTTCTGGTGTTAATGACGTTTTGATATAGTTTCAACCTATCAACTTATTTTAAATTTACGTCAAATTTTCAGTATCTTTTTTTAAATAAATAATGTCATATTCGATGGACAAATCTATGGGAGCTTTCTCATACTCAAGATTTCCTTTTAGTAAAGCCTAAACGCACGATATTGATTTATAACACTGTATACTGTTGTTAGGCTAATAAAGTTACCCTCAAATTAACAACTATTTTATATTATTTTACAACAATTTTTACAGATTCCCCTAAACATAATCATTTAGGCCACAAAAGCAAAAAATTACAGATTGATATACCAAATCTAGATTCGCCAATCAAAAACGACATAAATCATATATATTAAAAAAAATGTTATACTATATTTAAGTTATTATGTATATTAATTTTATATAATCCTATTGTTAACATTGCTTAACTTAACACAAATATTTGAGTTTAAGGCTAACAGCTCCGAAGAAGTGAAAAATAAAAAAGTGCCAGCTTATATTAAAAACAACCAGTGATAAACTGAACTGAAATATATCTATACATTACAATGAGCAAAAACCAAGGTGTAAGCTAACAGCACCAAAAAAAAAGAATTAAAAATTATAAGAACCAGTGATAAACTTAACTCGAATTCTTGTATAAGTTATTATAAGCACAATATAAAGTGCACGCTAATAGCAGAAACATGAAAAATTACCAGTTAACAGCACCAAAACAAAACGCAAAAATATAGAAAAACAGAAAATAACTTAAAATAACTAAATGAATTGAAATATATTAAAATTACAATTGTTTTTTTTTTAATTTAGAACACAATATTTTATTTTCGATCATAGTGCTGTGGCGTAAATAGTAATCCTATGACCATTCCTATCAACAACAGAAAAATTAATTAAATTAATTAAAAATATGATTCATTATTGATCATAGTGCAGTGACATAAATAGTAATCCTATGACCTTTCCTACCAACAACAACAAAATTAAAAATAATGTAAAATAATTAATTTATAATCGAAATTGCTCTTTTACTCGTGTATTTAATGTTATAATCAATCATACAAAATAACAAAAACAAAATTAAAATAAACCATTACTACTATTATAGATTTATAGATATAACAACTTAAAATTAAAAAAAAATATACAGATGAATTTATAATTTGTGTATGGAATGAGATCATCATCCAAAAGTAAAAAAAAACATGCCAAAATAATGAAAAAAATTTCAGAAATTATTTAAAACACAATATGTACAGAATATACTACACATATGTGTCTATATATATAGAAAGTAATGTAAACTATGAATAGAATTATATTGGAACACCCATTGCCAAATTGACCAAGAGTCCGTCCTTTTGTTAAAAATTTTGATCGTTATACTTGAACGCCGACATTACAGTAGAACAGCGAACAATTTCGAATTGTTTTTAAAACCACACCCACACAAAATTTAAAAAAAAAAAATATTTCACAAAATTTTATATACATATATATATTAATAAAAATTTAAGTACAAACTGTAATAAGAAAAATTGGGAAAATGTTTTTATCTTCATTAAAAAATTTATATATTTTTCTTCGATTACTTTTGCAGACACATTTAAGACAAAAATTTAGGTAAGAGAGAGGAAGGAGTATGGTTGTAGAGGAATTTAAAAATTTAATATAAAAAAATATTTTAAAAACATATTTAATATATATAATAATTTTTTTTAAAGCACAGCGCACATTTTTTTTAAATATTAAATAAATTATTTTTTTTCAAAATATTAAATAAATTTTTTTTCATAATATTAAATAAATTATTTGTTTTTTTTCTTGTTATATTATGTATAAAATATCTAAAACCGGCGTTTTGTCAACAAGCATCAATTATTTAAACATTTATTATTTTATCTAAAACTTTTTTTCTATAAATAATTTAAACACTTTGTTAATACAAAATAAAAAAAAACTGCTTACTTTACTTTAACAGCAAAGCTCAACTATTTACTCGCTTGCGCCTTTTCACGACAACGTTTAAAAAGAAACTGAAATCGAAATTTTGGCCGTTCGGCGAATCTTTAGTAAAAATTTTACTTTTACAGCAGTACAGCAAACCAGCAATGAGGTGACGTCATAATAGGGTAACAAGTTGCAACTACGCCATAGAACAACAAAACATTTTGAACAAATGATGAAGAACAGTCTGAGCTGTTCGTTCGTTTATGTGTTAGTAAGTAGTAGTATTTGTTTATACGAAAAATTGTTAAAACACGCCACGCATACGTACATATGTATGTGTGTCTGAATGAATGAAGGGCCTATTCGAGTCACACGAACTTTGCGTGAATGAACTTCTGTTTACAACTGAACTTTGTTAACAAATGGTTTACTTTCTGCATTTTGCTTCCAACATTGTTTGCTGATTAATTTATAGAAACAAACAAAAACAATACATAAGGAATTTTCTAATCACAATTTTATTAACTTACTTCAAATAATTATTTGTTTTTGTTTTTGTTATTATGTCAACTGTTTTGATAATTCTTGCAAATTTCTTATGACTCACGTAATTCGGTTCGTGTATTCGTACATACTTACATACATCCATACATACACGCATATATTGAGTGTATTTGGAGTAAACACAGAAAGAGAGAAGACAAGAATTAATGCAATTCTACCATAACGAGTACAGGGTGTGAATAAAATGACTTGTTATGATATAATTTTTTATTTTCAGTATATGGAGGATGGGTTTTCAATACAAAAAAAAAATCGAGGTCAAAAAAACATTTTAGTAATTTCAATGGAATTTAAATAAATGAATATTTACACGTTCAAAATACAATAAAAATGCAGTTATGACAGCAACAATTATGAGCTAATTTTTTTTAAATTAAACTCGTATAAGGCAATGTGTTTTATCATCGTTTTTAATTCTTAACAATTTAAAAATAATTAATAATGCAATTTATCTCATAACCTTGTAAGTCTAACAGAAAATGCAGCTTTCTTTAAGAAACTCCATGCTTTGATCCTAACACACCCAACATTAAACATCCGTCTTTTGTCAGCGATTCTCTCAATAATATAAAATCACATGGTAATACCAACGAAATAGTTGAACAGTCAGTAGTTTAATTTCTCTTTCCACAAACGAGAAATTATTAGAAATAAAGCATACTCCTAAAAAATTTCACACACTGCCCTCATGAGCAGTTCTAATATAATGGTAATATCAACATAGTAGTTTAACAGTCAGTAGTTTCAATTCTCTTTCCAGATACTGAAAAATATTGAAAATAAAACATACCGCTCTAAAATTTCTCCCACTGCACTAACAATAGCCCTCACATTCAAGGTGTGGAATGTCGTTCTTCACAAACAAAACTTAATTTCTCTGTTTAACCGTATAATACCACACGTAACGTTTAGAGATGTGCAATAATAAAAACACATTAACACCAACGTAAAGTTACTTTTTTCAAAAACAACTCATCCTGACTTTATACACCTATAGGTATCCAATCTGTTTGTTATATATTTAGCTGTCAATTAAAGGACCTTGACTTATATATCAGGAACACTACTAATGCTGCACTACTCTTCACAACGTAGCACTTACCATTTTTCTTAATATCCAAGTCGCTTTTAACAACTTATACTCAAACGCTATCATAAAATCTCTCAATTCTTAACCTATTCACAGTTTTGATCAAATTTCTTGAAGTACTATTCAAAATCATGATTATTACCTCGACATCGAAAGGGTTACGTTTTGGAGGACTAAGTGTTCGTTTTTGCAGAATTTGGCGATGAATACACTGCTCAAACGATTGGAATAATCCGGATACAGCGTTATAGCTGCAATCCGAACGACTGTCAAATATCTGAATTTCATCCTTTACTCTAAATTACGTCAAAAACAAGTTGATAAGCGCTTCGACAACATTCTTAATAGTTTGAGAATACCAGATTCATCTCAATGCGTTGGTTCAGGTTGCCAGTGTCCAACTTATAAGTGTACCAGAATACAGAGGCATCATAGGCAAGGTTGACGAACTTACTAAAGCAGGCAAGCTACGTTCTGGAATACACTCAAATTAAAACATATAGCAATAATTGAAAAAGCCTGGGTAAACAGTCAGATTTGTCAGATTTCAACACTAACTAAAGCGGAACCTTTAGTACTACAGTACTATAGTATCGGTGCTGACAAGCTATAGCGTGTTAGGAGATGTATTAAGACTGGGTCTACCGTACAATGACTTTTGTCGAGGTTGCGGCTCCGCTGATGTAGAGGAAAATGTTTCACCTTATGCCTCTGTGCTCACTCCATTGATTAAGGATGAGTTTTGTTACAATGTCGGATTCAGATGACAGATTCTATCTCCATCTGTCTTTGTATTTTCATCTATAATCAGCATTCATATACCTTTGCTTAGAGTTGAATGTTGTTTTATATTAATAACTGCGAAAACACCATTTTTGTGGCTTCTCTAACCTAATAACCTTTATGTTTAGAAATAGGCTTCTTGGAAACTCATTTAATAATTTCTATAACAAATAAGAATTCAATCATCCAAGCTATTAAGTGTTTTATTGAAACAAAAGTGAGATTGATTCATAAACCACTGATGCTCTAAGATATGTTCTTTTTTATTAAGTCTTACAGATCGTTGCAAAAGTAATGAAACTAAATCAAAATATTCCTCTGCTAGTTTGAAATCAATTCCCATATAATTCATAATATATATGTAAATATATATATATATATATATATATATATATTAACTAGTAGATGACCCGGCGAACTCTGTTCCGCCTTAAAGGCAATAAATAAGCAGTTTTTTTTTAATTGGAAAAAATACAAAAAAAAAAAAATACCTACATTAATCATTCATAATTTATTTGTGTATTTTAGTACACATCGCAAATTATCTATTTGTTGACCTCTGTTGTTCGCTCGACCTTCAGTCCTTAAATTTGCAGTATTTCGTATTCTTCTTGCATTACGGCTTTGTCGGGAAAGATTCGATCGTCTTGGTCGCGGCATTATTAAAAAACTAAAAACTCAAATTTTCAACCATACCATACATTATAATTGTTAATTATTTATTTTGTTGAGTTTGCAACAACCAGGTAGTTTTATTGATTAAAAACGATATTTATTGCAACACAAACTTATATTGATCTAATACAACTTTTAAATACACATTAACTAAGTTATATTTCTATCTGTTAAATTTTAATAAAATATTTTCTTATATCAAAAATTTGATAATTTCAAAACCTACTTTGTCGTGAACGGGATAAACAGGTATCCTATGTCCTTCTCCTGGCCTTAAACTACCTCCCTGCCAATTTTCAGCTAAATCGGTTCAGCCTATATCCTTCTCCTGGCCTTAAACTACCTCCCTGCCAATTTTCAGCTAAATCGGTTCAGCCGTTCTTGAGTTATAAGTGGTGTAACAATAACACATCTTTCTTTTATATATATAGATATTATATGGTTTCTAGAAACATGGAAGACAGTGTTGTTTAACATGAACTTTTACGTGAACTCTATATGTAGTTTGTGGTTTAACATTTTAATCAAAATTATTTTTGCAAAAAATAATAAATATGTTAATGTTTTTTTTTTTGTATAAATGCAGTTTATTTTGAATTATTGCTTCATTTATAAAAACTAAATTTCGATTATATATTTAAAGCATTCGATAAGGAAACGTTGTTTAGTGTTAACTAAGTTTTCATTATATTGACAATAAGCTCTTAATATATAATCATAATTAAATTTTTTATGTATGTATTATACATAAATTGTGTTTATTATTAAAGCATTTTAATAGGATTACTACAATTCTAATACAAATTTTTAAGTTACTTTTTATATATGACACGAGACTTCGTTTCGTACGCAGACTTATTCCTTCAAAAATGATACATTTTTTGTGAACCAAAAATTATACATATATTTAAAATTTTATTAAAAGAACAAAATGTTATTTGACCAGTGCTTGGTAATAAAAAAAAACTTACGAGAAAAAAACTTTCTTTTAATTCTAATCCAACCCATCATCCATGAAATCGGGTTTCTTCGGTTCAGGTTTCTTAGGTTCCGCAGTAGGTGTTTCTTTACCGTTTGCTCCGTCATCTGGAGCTCCGCCTGGGAAACCGGGAAAACCACCAAAGTTTGGAAATCCACCAGAACCACCTTTCATGCCTTGTATCATAGCAATTAGTTTAGCAATTTTGGGATTTGATTTATATTTCTCGATGTTTGCTGGATTTTTCATTATGTCCTCAAACGCAGCTTGAACTTCTGGATCCTTTGCGTTCGACATGAAATCATTAAACTGTGAACCATTGAAAGATGGTACACCACCTGGGAACCCGCCTGGAAAACCGCCAGCAAAACCATCACCAGCATTACCACTTTTAGCTTGTTCTTTCTGTTGACGTTCTCTTCGTTTCTGTGCAGCACGCACTGCTGCTTCTTGAACTTTACGAGCTTTTTCTAACTTCTTGCGCTCTAACTTAACGCGATGTTGTTCAATTTTCTTGGCATTTGGTGTTACTTCACTTAACCAATCATTAGCTTCTTCGTCGAAATCTAATTTACAAGCTTGACGCAAATCTTTTGCAGCACTTTCCCAATTACCTAACAAACGATGTGCTCTACCACGGAACTTATAAGCAGCTGCTGAATCACAATTTAACTCCAATGCTTTGTCGCAATCATGAATGCAAGCAACCGGCTTTTGCAACTTTAAGAATGCTTGACCGCGTTTAGCATGGAAAAGTGCATTTCCAGGATTTAACTCAATAGCTTTTGTGTAAAGATCAATTGCTTCTTGGAATTTCTGCTCAGAATAAGCTTGGGCGGCCTCAGAACGTATGGCACTAGCTTGATCAACCTCCTCTTCAGTTGGAGTTTTGCTAGAATCTCCCATAATTAAATCTGTAACATCATCTCCTTCGATAACTCCTAAATTAAAAAAAAAAACAAAAATAAATATTATCGTAAAAATTGTATATAATATATAGTTAAATCTGAATATGTAAATGCGTAAATATATTAAAATATTTCTATATATATTTTGGAAAATATGTATGCAAAAATATATTTAAAACGACACACAATCTTATTAAATATAAATAATAAATACATTCTAAATATAGACAAAAACTGACCCCTGAATTAAAACTGAACGACTTTTGACTATGCACTTAATCAATTAACATATTTAATTAAAAAAAATAAATAAACGAACAAAAAGAACAGCTACAATATAAAATTTTTTTTTCGTTACACTGTTTATACATTATATTGATTTCTACTATTTAAATAGTTTGTCGTTTTTAATTTTATTACCTTCATTATCCAATTCAATTTCCGATTCAGAATCTGAGGCAATTTCTTCAACTTCAGAATCAGATTCTTCACTGACCTTGGGATCCGATTCAGCACTACCGGCAAATGGGCATTTTCTATTTTAAGAAAAGAGATAGAACTATATATGAATATTAATGAAAGCAAAATTGATTTACCCTCCAGTAGGCATCTTAAAATCACCATCAGGAATTTTTCCACCGAAGCCCTCAATAAATTTTTTAACAAAATCTAATTGTGGTACATTTAGTATTGTAGGATTTGCTTGCACAAATTCAATGAAGCCCTTAAGTTTCTTTATATCTTCAGCGCCGGGCATAGCCATTTTGAAACACGATTAAAGCAATAATAATTGAAAAAGTATTTGCTTAAAACGTACGAACACAATTCAATTAATTTAATTGTTTTGTGAAATCTTATTTGTTTTTAAATTTAATTAATATTTTTTCGAAACGCAAAGTATTATTTTTATTGATTTAAACTCACGCCTAAATCCCGAACCTTCTATGCAAACTCTCAATTAAGCACTATGAAAAACGTTCAATTAAAAAGGAACAGAAAAAATGATAAAATATTTGACAGTTACATAGTTGCAATTTTTAAATATTGAAGCTAGAAATTGTTTATACTTTTGCATGGATGATGGTATCAATAACAATGACCGTGTGCGAGTTCGAGTAAGTTGAGGTAAAGTTATTTGAAATTTCCTAGGGATTTTTTGCACTACACTTATGTAAATATTTATTTAATGATTTCTTGCACTTATTTATTATTTTTGGTTAAAAATTTTCAAATTTATTTATTAAACATCTTATGAAATTTTCACAATGATATTACATAATTTTTATCTAATTTACCTTACCATACCGATATAATTTACTATTTTCCTCAATTTACTAGAACTTACGCACGATCTAAATATGTAGTAGTTTTAATTGCAATAGTTATTTCCTATATATAGTTGTTTTAAAAAAGATCTCGATTGATTATATACAAAATATCTTGAAATTCTTATTTATATTCTTTTTAATTTTGTTTTTATTTTAGGGACGTGTGCGAGATAGGCTAAGTTGCGTTCTAAATGAGGGAAATTCTAAGTTGTGCCGATAATGTAGTGTCGATACGTGTTGATAAATGGCTATATGTGTGCAGTGCAAAAAATCCCAATTTTTAAACGAAATCTCCTATTTCGTTTAGCATCAACTTAACCTAATTCGCACGCGTCCTAGATTTTATAACAGAGATATATCATTACATTTTGTGCGAAATTTTTTTTTTCATTCAGGAAAACTATTCACAACATCGCAACATAATAGAATTGTGAATTACGAACTTTAACGTTCGATTTTTTATAAATTACAATTAAATCTGATTTTTATATATAGATTTTTATATATACAGATTTATATATATAGATTATATATAAATCCGTCTGATTTTTATATAAAATTTAATACGATTTTAACTTATTTCATAACAAAGTGATCCGTAATATTGCATTCACACTGTCTCATTCACTTGTTGTTTTATATTAATAAGTGAATGTGCACATTATAATGAGCTCATTTATACAGCTGATAATATATCACACAAAAAATATATAGGCCGTTTGCGAGTTCTAGTAAATTGAAGGAAATAGTAAATTATGTCGGCATGGCAGTCCATATTGGTATTTACCAAAATTTCGAGTAGGGTAAATTAGATAAAAATTAGGTAAATTAGGTGTTACCATTGTGAAAATTTTATAAGATGTTTAATATATAAATAAATAAATTTGAAAACTTTTAACCAAAAATAATAAATAATAAATCATTAAATAAATATTAACATATAAGTGCAGTCTAAAAAATCCCTAGGAAAGTTTAATTTACTTTACCCTAGGAAAGAAAATCCCTAGGAAAGTTTAATTTAATTTAATTTATTGTTTTAATGACCAAAAAACTTTTTAAAATAATTTTGATTGACTAATTAGCCCGTAAAATAAAAACAAAATTATTTATTTTGCCTCAATTTACTCGAACTCGCACACGACTTACACAGCATTTAAAAAAATTAGCACCCTGTAAAAATTGACAAAATGTTTTAACAATGTGCGGTTTTAAACTAAGCAGCAGTTTACAATAAATAAAATAAATGCCGGCATGTAAAATACTTAAAAACAAAATTATTACAGAATTAATTAAATGTTTCCATACAAGTAAAATGGCTTGCAGTCGTTATGAATATGTAAAAACCTATGAACGGGAGGACAACATTCTACCAAATGTATGGATCGTTGTACGCGTTGATGGCAAAGGATTTCATAAATTTTCCAAAATACACAACTTCGAAAAGCCTAATGACGAAAATGGTATTTAGTGAAGCTAAATATTTTATATTAAAATAATAACATATTTCACAAATAGCACTGAATTTAATGAACTACGCTGCCATGACTGTTATGACCGAATTCCGCGACATAGTGCTCTCTTTTGGACAAAGCGATGAGTATTCTTTTGTTTTCCGAAAAGAATCGAACATTTATAATCGACGTGCTTCTAAATTGCTTTCATATGTAACAAGTCTGTTTACATCTGCTTACGTCATGAACTGGATGATGTTTTTACCAAAAACGAAATTACAGTACCCTCCTTGTTTTGATGGTCGTGTTGTGCTCTATCCCTCAGATCAAAATTTACGAGACTATTTGAGTTGGCGACAGGCTGATGTTCATATCAATAATTTATACAATACAGCTTTTTGGAATCTTGTGCAGCAAGCTGGTCTTACTGCCAGGGAAGCAGAAGCCGAATTGCGTGGTACAATTTCGTCAGATAAAAATGAATTATTGTTTTCTAAATTTGGCATTAACTATAATAATTTGCCAACCATGTTTCGCAAAGGCACAATATTACTAAGAAAACGTGTACGTACAAGTCCCGATGATTGTATTGGTCAACTTATTGTGCCAATGCATGAGGATATGATACGAAACCAATTTTGGAATACGCATACTGAATTATTAGGAAAATACTTACCAGGTGAATATTTATACAATTGCAATAGTACAGAAGATTTGTCTAATATACTACTGGAAAAACAAATGGAGACACTTAAACTTAATAATATAAAGAAAGAAGAACTATAGTACAAATTAAAACAAATTTTTTTTAAAATGTTTTCACATTGAGCCAGCTCACTGTTATTTACTCCAGTGAGCCTGTTTTATATTACGGTACACACATATAAACATACACTAAAACTTATATCTGTGAATTAAAAACTAACTAGATGTCTATACTATCACTTAACTTTAGTAATCATCATCTTCGTCGTCTTTTTGCATTTGTCTATTCATAACCTCAGCACTTTGTTGCGCAGTTGCTTGTATATTTATCCACTGCTGTTGTTCTTCGCGCTCCTGTTCTTCTCTGGCTCTCGCGAAAAGTTCCTGTTGTTGGCGTAGCAGCTCTTCCTCTGGAATCCCAAGGTTTTCAAGACGAGTGCTTTGTCTTCTTCGTTTAGCTGCTACTTCTTTGCAGTCATTCAAAACAGCTTCAGCTTCTTGTTTGTAATCGCGGAAACCCAAGCGATCTAACGCTTCTAATACATGCTCTGCATTGATGGTTTTTTTGTTACGCTGATTACAAACTTCATTTGATTCAGAACTTATTAAATGAATAAATTCTGTGCAACAATTTAATAACAATTCTCTGCTTTCATTAGCTACTCTCACATTAGGTACCTAAAATGCATAATTTAATATTTACAAAATGTTTTATGTCACAGTAAAATTATCTTCGAACCAATTCTTTTATAATCTTATTAATGCTGGCACGTGGTAAAGTTAATTCATCATCATCTGTTGAAGGTGGACACAGCTCATCTTGCTCAGGATTCGTCATTGAGTCGGATTTGTGGCTACGAAAACAATATTGAGGAGTGCAATGAAGAAATAGTTGACAACTACAAACATTTTTTATGCAAGAGTGCTGCCACATCTTTCAAACTGTCAGTGCCTTCTGTTCGGCCTCAAATTTGCCATTTAAAAACCATTTAATTAATTTTTACTTAAATTTTTATATTATATATTATAATTATTATTCTTAAAAATAAAAAATTTATTAATATTAATTTATTAATAATAAATATTAATGTTTATTAATTTATTAATAAAACAGTGCTGCCAAATCATAAGAAATTACCCTTCTTGGTTACTTTTCTTATTTCCCAACACTGTTTACTTACATAATGGGAAGTTTTTAACACTATAGTTCTGTCACTGTTCAGTCGTGTCGTGAAAATTTGGTAATTTTCTGCGGTTTGCATAACCATTAAAAATTAAAATTTACAGAATTAATTTATTTTTATATATGATTTCAGTTTTTTGCACGCCGTAAGAGTTCAGATATCGAAATGATGATGCAGCGCGCAACTCTGTTGGCTCCGTTAGCCTTGGAAGCAACAATCCAAGCGCAACAACAGCGTGGTATGGCCACATTAAAAGCCATCTCGATACGACTGAAGTCTGTTAAGAATATACAAAAAATTACGCAATCCATGAAAATGGTATCAGCTGCCAAGTACTCTCGCGCTGAGCGTGATTTAAAAGCAGCTCGTCCATATGGAATTGGTGCTCAACAGTTTTTCGAAAAAACCGAAATTAAAGCCGAGGAAACAGCTGAACCTAAAAAACTACTAATTGCCATGACCTCAGATCGTGGTCTCTGCGGTGCAGTACATACTGGTGTTGCTCGTACAATCCGAGGTGA